CTAAATCTTATTTCTGGAAACTTTTCTGATGGTAAATGTCCTGAAAATTCAGTTTGTTTTCACCGTAAGTTAGAAGCCCAGAAGTGCTGAAGTAGAATGGCAGTTAAGATTGATAAACAAGGATGTGATCAGATATTTAATAGGCTAACTGCATAGTCCTCAAATGTAACCATTGTTTGTTTTGGATACTGACAACTTGTAGTTTACATTTTATATTTTGGAGAGTGCAAAACAAAAATCAAAACAAAACAAAACCTACTTTGGAGTCATACAGATATGAGTTTCAAGCTTGACTTTTAGACCTGTCAATATCTCCTTTAGCTTATGCATTTGAAAAAAACATGGATGACGGTACATTCCAAAATTTGAAGAGTTTTTGAGTGAAGTAAATACTGCTCTACATAGAACCAATTACATCTTTGATTCTTGATAAATAAAATAAGCAGTAGTTTATTCTTTTCAACATGAAGTGAAAGAGACTGACTGGATTTCATAAGAAAGCAAGCGAGGTGATGGAAAGAGGAAATGGTTGGACCAATAGACGATCTGGCCACCTATTTTGGGAAGATCATTTATCTTTACCAATTCTCAGTTTCCACAGCTGCATAATATAGGAATTGCTTTTCCTCTAGCTTCCCCCAAAAAGGTTGGATTTTTTGAAAGAGGAAAACACACTAATATCTGTGAATGAGTTAAAACCTCATGTGAACTTCTGCTCTCAGCAATGGTGATTAGACAAGCCTCTAGGCAAGAACACTGAGAACAAGCTAAATAAAATATTTAAAAACATCTACTTGTAAACATCAGAAAGCTACCAAGGAATTGAAGAATTTAGAAACCATGATGCAGGAAAGAAGAAAACCTAGCATAGCAAATCTGGCCCCAGGTGGCTTGGAGTCCCTAGGAAGGCATTTACTGGCTCTAAAGCACCGGCTGACTGGGCCAAGAAGTGAACAGAGCTTCTGGCCTTCTCACGGAGAGGAAGGCAGCCCTGGGAAAATCTCCCAGATTAAAGTTGGGGCCCTTAAAGAGCAAAACCTTATTAAGTAGGAACTGGTATGAAATAGACAAGCCCTTAGAAAGCCCAGCTTTGAATCAGCCCAATCCCTGATTATATTACAGTGATGTCTTCCTTACCTTAAACGATGGTCAGGACAAAAGAAAACACACCCTTTTGAAAAGAAATAACTTTCAGAGCTTCAAATTATAACCTTTTGTACATAATTTTTGTCTCTGGCAAGCAAAAGCAATAGAAAAAAGCAGAAAAACCAAGACAAAGAATTTGCAAAATATTCATAAATTAGAGTTATCAGGTAAAAGTCAGGAAAAAAATACTTTAATTAGCAAACTAGGGATACTGTTTAATTAGTTGCCGTAAAACACAATTATTTTCTGAAAACAAAACAGAAAACTCTAAAAATGGGGACGGAGATTTAGCTCAGTGGTTTTACCACTTGCTACGCAAGCGCAAGGACCCGAGTTTGATCCCTGGTACCAAAAAAAAAAAAAAAAGCTTTTACAAAAAACAAAAAAGAAAAAACTCTAAAAATGGACTCTTAAGGCAAATGACTTCAGACCATGTTAAAAACTTCAAAGAAAATGATGTTGAAGTTTTACAGGTAATGGGGAAAAAAATAAGAACTAAGATTCATCATGTACAGGTACAAGCACCCAGTGATAAATGTAAGCATACTGTATACCTAAAATGTACCAATAAAAGAATTAAAAATAATTGTGATCATATTGAGGACTGAATAGAAAACTTTGGGAGCTTTCTTCTTCCCATGACCTCATAACTGTGTGTGTGTGTGTGTGTGTGTGTGTGTACACACACACACACACACACATATAGGTATATATTTTTTCTTGGAAACAAAAAGCACTGATTGCATTCCAAAATTTCTAATAATTTCTCCTATGTAACTTACTATTTAAATTCTACATGAAAGAGCAGATTCTACTTGGATTTTAACTATGTTTAATTTTTTATAAGCATCATACAGTACATCCTTTGCTAATGAAATACAACCAGTTTGACTGCAATAGACTAACATGATTATCTCTTCATCACTTGTTCCATCAGTTCATTCATTAGGTATTATTACAGTACTCATTAGACTGGGAATGAAATTTTTTTTTTTTTTTTGTACCAGGGATTGAACTCTGGTCCTTGCCCTTGCAGGGCAGGTGGTGGAACCACTGAGCTAAATCCCCCGCCCCAGGAATGTAGTCTTATTGTGACAACTAAATAAATTTGAGTTTGACTTAAGTACATGAAAAAGAGTCTGGTTTATGATTTTTTAAGCCACCAGGAAAAAAATAAGCCCAATAGATTAGATGATAATTCAGCATACATTTTCAGCTTGATACAATTTTAAGATAACTACAGATTAAGTAACTTAATGGAGAAGCCAAATTCACCTTAGCTTTGTCAATGATGTGAACAATATCGAGGGAAAAGTTTATCTTCTAAAACCACTAAGAGTTTGTAAAGTGGCTGAGTGCTTTACTGGCTGTCTGCCATGTTTTGCTTTCTTCTGTTAAATACGAATATTTCATCTATTTAATCTCTGCAATGAAGTTTATCAATGTCATTTTGGTTTTTTTATTTTTTTAGGGGCTGAATTAAATTCCATTCCAAATTCCTCCATAAAAGAAATCTTGAGAAGAAGGGAAGTAGAGATTCTTGATTCCAAGTTTATTCAAACAAATAAAAGTAGATAGGTAAATAGTAAGTGCTATTGGTAGATAGATGGTAGCTTCCTGTCATCAATTATTTACAATTAAAGAACATGAGATTTTTCTCTAATATACCATAATTAGCAGGGAAATATGCAAGGCCTCCTTAGAGAAATCTCTTAGTTCCAACACCAGCAGCATCTGGCAAGAAACTAACTTTATCAATGTACCTAAATAAGGAATATGTCCATGAAAAAGATCAACTAAAGAGATAGCAAAAAAGGAGCCATTGTAGGAAAATTTTGGCAATACCCAAATAAGTTAGTCCAGAGGAGCTTGGTCTAAGTATGTGAGAACATGATGGCTTTAGAACCAAAACTATCTAATCTTTCAGTCGATTCAGTTTATTTAAACTTTCTTAGCAGCATAGAACAGCTTCAAGTTTGTTCTGAGGTTCAGAGAGGTTAAGTAAATCAACCTAGGCTGGCTACTCATTCTTGAGCAGTAGAGTCAAGATTCAGAATTGTGAGTCTATGGAACTAATCAAGGCTACTGATCCCCACTTCTTTAATTTGGATGATTATTCTTCATAAAAAACTGCAGATGTTATACTTTTTAAGTCTACCTGTTATGGTTTGGATCAAATGCACTCCTAAGTTCTGATGTAGGACTTTTGGAAGTGATTGGATCGCATGGGCTGTAACTTCATCAGTGGACCAATCCATTTGATGGCATTATTGGTCTTTCTCTCTCTTACACACACACACACACACACACACACACACACAAACACACACACACAATTGGACACGTTTAAGATACATGTAGTTCCAATCAAGCTCAACTATTTTATTCCTTCCCATTTAAAGATTCAAATCTTCTTTTAGGTGATGTTAAAAGCATACGAAACCTTTGCAAAACCATGTGGATACATTTGGAAGTGCTTGGTGAGAGAGGAGATTCAGCCAGGGGGAAGAAAGATGTCTTAGTTCCTTTGGGTAGTTAGAAGAAAGTGTCATTATCTAGGTGGCTTATATACAGCAAACATTTATTTCTCACAATTGTTGAAGTGGGGAAGCCCATGTTCATGGTATCAGCAGATTCAGTGTCTAGTAAGGGCTGGCTTTATCATTGACAGAGCTTTTCCACTGTGTCCCTCACATGGAAGAAGGGGACTAGTCTCTTTCAGGCCTGTTTTATAAGAGCACTAATCTCACTGTAAGGGCATTACCCTTAAAACCTAAATACCTCACAAATGTTTTCACCTCCAAATACCACTGGCTTGAGGGTGATTATTTCAGTTTATAAATTTGGGGCAATATAAATATTCAAACCATAGTAGGAAGAGGTGTTTTTCTCCCGAAACAATCAACACCAAACTCCTTTAGCTCTCTTTCTCCTCAGAGTGTACTCACTTTACCAGCTGCTCATTCATTCACTCATTCAGAAAATGTTTATGGAGAATTTACTATGAGCCAGGTCTTCAGTCTCTCTTCTATCTTTTCCTTACAAGATAGCCCAATTCTGTGCTATTCTGATCTTTAACCAAGACCTTAACATCAGTGCATGGCTTCCTCCCATTTCTAAGACACACCTTGTCTCTTTATCTTCTGTCAATTCCATTCTTTGTTGATTACCATGACGATCACAGCAAAAGGCTCCCAAAAGCCATGAGGGGAAGGGGTATTCTCCTGATTAGATGTGGAAGTTAGGAAAACTATGGAGCCTTAATTTTTCTTACGTTCTGCCAGATTTAAGGCATCCTCCCTTTCCCCATTTTGGAACCTCTGCTTTGAGTAATGAATTATGAACACACAAAATCGGTTAAAATTAGCAAAACAGAACACTTTTTACTCTGAAACATAGAACTTTTAAAATGGACAATGAAAGAAAGTAGGTATTAAAATAATCATTTGAAGAGTGTTGATTTTTGTGTTTTTGGATCATAGCAAAGAACACAATTATAATATATGCTTTAATTTCTATAATTTTCCTCAAATATTTTCTAATATTCCCATATATATTACTATTTAGTTTAAATTTAATATAATTTAGAAATTTTACTTTTTATTAGTTAAGTCAACACTTGCAAAGATTGATAGTGCACAATTTCTCTTTTTATTTGCTATGTATCCCAAATTCTTATATTTTGTTGAATACCATCCACCTTTCTTCAACATCCTTTTTGAGGATTTTTTAGAAAGAAATGATACACTAGCATGATCTTTTATTATGAAAAATTTCAGGATAGTTTTGCCTACGATATTTTTTGTTGACCCAAAGCAAACATTTCTGTGGTTAGATTTCCACATCCAACTCACCTGTCAAATAACTCTCCTCCTGTGACGAGTTCTAGGACCAGGCTGATTTCTGTAGGGGTTTCGAATATTTCCTTAAGTTTTATCTGGGGGAAAGATATACATAAAAAAGAACATCATAGATTCCTTATTTTCACCTTTCTTGAAAATATCTAAAATTATGGCTAAAACAACACTGCAATACTGATATATTCAGTGATTTTTAATAAAAGCCCTTCGTTCTAGTATCAAGTATATATTTATCATTTGCTTTCTGGATTGTGGATATTATCTATTATCTCATTTTTTTCAAAGGTTCTATTGAATTTTAACATTTTTCCTTTTGATAACTGCCCTAGAAACACTTCCTAAAGTTTTCCAGAATATTTCAATTTCTGAATTAGTCTATAATCGAAAACAAAACACCAACTTCCTAAAACCTTTAAAAGCATCACTGTTGGTAGACACACAAAGTGCTTTTCTTTTTGTAACAAGGGACTTTGAGTTAGGGGTCTGAGCCTGGGCAGGACTAGGTTAAAGTCTGCACCAGAATGAATGTCCTCAAGAGCCAATACATTGCTGATGGGCGAAGGGGTTCTTGGAAACGAGCAATGGCAGAGATAGGATTAACCACATCAGTATTTCATCACACTCAGATTTGAGATATTTCAACCAATTTGAAATATTTTTTCTCTATAGATCTGGGACTCTAGTGGCCAGGACTTATGCACACTTGAGGAAAATTCCACATTGGCTTTTCTTTGGAAAGAAGAAATAGATAACATAAAAATAGTGACTGAGTATGGTAAATTTTGTTAGTTGCCTATCCCAAGCCTTTCTCCCTACTTTATTGCACATAGAACACCGATTTTGTTTAGGGATTAAAGCACCTCATCCCACATTGTGGATCATGATTGGTCTAAGCCATTTATGATAAATTTCCCACTCTATTGGCCTTCATGCAGTTAAGGATGATTTTGTGACCAGTTCTGGCCAATAAAAGTTGAACAGAATTCAGTCACTGTAGTTTCTGAGGAAATTATCTCTTCTTACCTGTCTCTGCTGGTAAGGTCTTTCTTAATCATCTTACTTGAATCTAAACTGAACACCTGAAAACCGTGGAGCAGCCATTTTAGAACCATGAAGGAAAAGCAGAGGGTGAAAATTAATACACTGCAGATGGCAAGATGTAGGGTGAGCAGTGTCTGGGTCCTGGATGGTGATATTGGAAAACTGAATCAATGCTAGGAGCTGCCTGCCTTCTAGTCTCTTTTAAGAAGAATACTTGCTATTTATAGCTAAACGCATCCCCAACTCATAAAGTTTTAAGTACTTTGCCTTAAGCCTAAGCATTGCAGATCATTCTCTCAGACATTACAGCTTTCTCAGAGAAGACAGTAAAATATTTTTTAAGTAGATGGCTTAATTCATAAAATGAAGTTATGGTTTGGAAAATGATTTTGTTCTTTTTCACTTCAATGGTTCCAAAAAGCTTTTCACTGGACATTTCCCTCGATGGCTTTGTCTGGACACAGCCTAAAGCAGAGCTTCTGAGGACATTTTATTTTCTCATTCAAGTGCATCATTTGTTTGCATTCTCACATTGTTTCTGAAGCAGATACTCCCTCAAAGGAGACTGAAATCGCTTTGGAGAGCAATGTATTATCTTCACAGGCTTTTTCGGCAGTGGCATGTTAATAAGATAACCACATAAAAGAGGAAGAAAGCCAGTAATGTATTAGAATGAAATAAAATTCTCCCATTTTCATCCTTTTATGCATAAAAATAAAGGTGGTGTACATAGCTTATCCATCCATTTTGGAACTGACTAAATAGATATGTAAATTTTTTGCAGCCAAATTATTGAAAATGTGATGAGATGAAGACAAAAACTAGGCCACGATGGCTCCCCAAAGTGAGAGAATTTTCTTCTCGTTATCCACATGGACAACAAAGAACAACAATTCCATTTAATAGCTTTGGAAAGTACTTGAAATAGTAGGTGAAAAACCACTTACAATGTTTGGATGTGAGAGGCGAAGAAGAACTCCTATCTCAGTTCTTACAATTTTCTTGTCCACCTAGAAGGCAAAATAAGAGATAAACTGAAAGAAACTTCCATCTTAGGAAAAAAAATCTTCATTGCAGCAGAGATTACATAAAGCATTAACCACCTGAGCATGCTAGACTATTGGCAGAAGCCAATTCCCAAGCTTGTTTCTTAGGTCTTTTCCTCCCTTTCTTTTCCAGCTGTGTGTCTTACCTCTGCTTCAGACACAGAGTAGAGCCAGAACTCAAAAGTATCAAAACTTATGAAATCTCTTTCATAGCATCTCCCCACCCCCCGCCCTGTTTTCTTAACTGAAGTCATCATCACCACTGTTACCACCAAGGTACAAGTTCATCTCAACCCACACCTCATCCTTTTCTTTCTTTCACTTGTGTAAGTCTCTGACTGAAATCCAGGGGAGGTGTCATCACTTCACCTGCTCTCCTCACACAGCGGTGGTACATAACCCAGACCAACCAATCAGAGTGTCCTGTTCTCTGGATCTGGATGGCTTCAAGGATATCAGCAGACCTAAGTCATTCCGGAGAGTTCTCATTGTGCTCAAATAATTGTCAAAGAGGCATTCTCTTTTTCTCTGAAATTATGAGAGCAAAGGAGATAGACACTGTTTCTACCAGTGACTGTTTTTAAAAAAGTAACATATGGATGTCAATGAAAATAAAGCCAGAAAAAGAAAAAAATACTGCTGAAATCTGAAGATTACTGTTCATATAACTTAATTCATTGAATTCAGCCATGTGCGAACTATTTTGCCTTTGAACTTTCTATCATATGAGCCACTACATTTCCTTTTTCCCTTGTTATCAAAAATTAGTTTCTTTTGCTGGCCATTAAAGAACACTAGTTAGTTCACTACTTGACTGTATTTGGGACAATGATCATTTAATTTGCCATTTTCAAACTTAAGGCTGATTCCTCCTTTAAGACCATGATTAACTCTTAATCACAATAAATGGGAGTTTCATATCTCTAAAAGTCATACGTACATGGAAATGTTTGAGTGTACACCTCTGTTGATGAAATCCATCAAAATAATGAATGGCTAGTACCTGCACTCTTACTGTAGATTTTACCGTATGAGTCACCTAGAATCTTTGGACTAGCAGAGTTCACATGTTTAGAAATAAGTATGAGGAAGTTTATATACACTTCACAGCCAGACTAGGGACATATTCAAAGACTGATTTTAATGAAGAATGGGTTCTATGCTTTAAGTCTTTAAGTTACTTTTCCTGAGGAAGAAAGGGTGGGCTTGACAAGAAATCCAATTCCTTTTCTTTTGGTACCAGAGATGGAACTGGGGACCTTGTGCTTGCAATGGAGGTGGTGGAACCACTGAGTAAAATCCCTGGCCCCCAATTTCTTTTCAATGGTGATAATCAATCACAATATTAAGATGATGAAGAACAACACTCATTCATTTAATTTTTATTCTCTGATGAAAATGTTAACCAACAAGCACACATTATTTGAAAATAAAGAAAAGATACTCAAAGGATTAATACAAATTTTATACATTCTTGTCCTTAGTTGCATCATATAAATATTTTCATGGTTTATATCTAAATGTCCCCCCAAAGCCGCATGTGCTCATACATGGGGATTTGGGGAGGTAATTGGATCACAGGGGCATCATACCCATCAATGGATTAGTCCACTTATGAGTTTGTAGCTGACTGGCTGTTAGGAGGTGGGATCTGGCTGGAAGAAGTAGGTCACTGGGAGTGTGGCCTGGAAGTGTTTATCTCATTCCTGCTTCTCCCTTTCCTCTCTCTCTTTGCCACCCCCCCCAACCCCCGCCATGCCATGAACTGTTTCACCTCTGCTAGGCCCCTCTGCCATGCCAGCCTGTCTTGGAGCCACTTGACTATTGACTGAAATCTCAAAACTGTGAGCCCAAATAAACCTTTCCTTCTTTAAGTTGTGGATGTCAGGTAGTATGCATCAGTGACAAGAAAGTAACTAAGACAAATATATTTATATTTTCTCTGACATATAACCCCCTAGAATGTCTTATTTAATGAGGTTAGTCACCATTTATCAATGCTTTTAGTTTTTATGAGAAAGAAAATGTTTCTAAGGAGATAGTAAAGAACCCCCATTCCAATCAGAGGTTTTATTTCAAGAGTCTTTTTCACCACAATGCATAATAAAGCATTAGACAGTCATACAGTCATGGTAAAGCTTCCTAAGCTATAAAAAATTTTTGATTATTCATTGTAGTCAGCTAGGAAGCTCAGTGTTTTAAGATATTCTTGCCAACAAAAATCAAACAATTAAAATGAATCCGCAATTCTATAAAACAAAAACATTCTAGATATTTTGGATGGATGTCAATCTGTGTAACCCAGCCTATTTTTTAAAGGGTGCATGTCATTCCATAAAAATACGTAACATCAGTCCTGAGTTCGATCCCCGGTACCAAAAAAAAAAAAATGTAACATCAGCTATAAAGTCTGACTTAAAAGAAGGGTGGATGAGTTGATCTGTCCCTTTTAATATAGGGCAGCTACTATTAGCGTTAACTGTGAACAGAGAAAAACAATTTCATAAGAAACAACCTAATGCAAGTGACTGTATAACACATTGATAGGCTCTGGGGCTTTCACAGTGAAGGAATAAAGGAAGACATACATCTTGATATATCTAGTCCTCTATGCCTCAAAAACTTTCAGAGCTGCCTCACCAGTTTTTCTCAGACACTAAAGTGTAGCTGCTTTTCCCAATTCAGACAGGTTTTGCATTGGCCAAAAATTTTTCAGTGTCAAGTAACAAACTCATAGTTCAAACTTGCTTCAGCCAAAAAGGGAATTTATTTGCACATGTAACTTGAAAGTCAGAGTAGATCTAAGGACACAGCAAAATCCAGAGGTTCACACTCAAACAATGTATCCCCTCACCCTGCCACATGTGTCTCTGACTCTCTTCTTTACAAATGGCAACAAACATGGTAACAGAAGCTCCAAGTCTCTACTGTTTAGTCTCACATTTCAAAGCGAAAAGAGACTCTTCTGACTACATTGTATGCCAACCTTGGGTAGTATTCTCATTATTTTCTGTCTACTTCTACATGTAAGAAATGTGTAACTATGCCACAAGAGCAAGCAACTTCAAGGTTTCTCTCCTTGACTGGAGTTGAGAGGGATGAAGAGGTTTGGTTGTCCTGAAAAACTGATTATTTTTAATATTTGTTCCCTTCCTTCTAAATTTTCATAAAATTTGGAAGTGCTCTTTTTTTCTGCTTCTTCCATGTCCCAGCCTAGTCAACAAATCATTTATTAATTCTTATTAATTTATAGTAACTTGTCATCAGTAGATTTAACATTCACAGTTTTCACTACTTAGCAGTAGCTCACATAGACCCTACAAACTAATAATTTAATTTTTTCCTAGAAATATTTTTGAATACATAATGAAAAATATGTAGGGCAATTGCTTAGTTGCCAAATGAGTCTAGCAGATGAGGTAGCATATGTACCTCAAATCTGCTATGGAGTGCTTGTCAAGTGTTTTGATGGTAGTTATATAAGATGAAGATGGTAAGGCAGTATGGGAAAATGTTGGCTCTGGTCAATACAAAAGGTTGGAGTTGAAATTTGAAATCTTTGTGCTTTGTGGAACAGAAGGGAATACAAAGTTTTCATCATATTCGCAAAAGCTCTGAAACAGAAAAAATAAAAGAAACTGATCTTAAGAGCACGTAATCCATGGAACTGAAGATTCAAAAATTTTTTAATTTATTCTTTAATGTATGTATAATAAATATATAGCACATGGGCTCAGCTCCATATTAAACACTGTTGGCCATATGAAAAAGCAAACAAAATAAGGTCTTTCTCAGCAGAATATTTCAATCTAATTTGGTGGATGAGACTAATCCACATAATGTCTTCTAAGAATAGTGAAAAACTATAAGGAAGAATGTAAGTTTTGTTTAAAAAGCTCAACTGTTCAGTGGAAGTTCATTTTCTATGAGCTGAAATACTTCTATGTGTAAGCAGTGGATTTACTATAAAAGTTTTTTTTTACATTAGTAGTCATTAGGAAAACCACAGTGTTGTCAATATAAAATGAACTGTCCGCTGGAGTGTGCACAGGGAACATGGAAATGGTGTGATAAGGGCTGCTGATTGCCAGTCCATGATGTCAGCCATCCACGGGCTACAGATAGCATAGTCCAGGAAGAAGTTCAGTAATCAAATGAGATTCTGTTGATGAAAACTTTTAAGTTTCATGAAAATTTTCCATTCAGCAAGAGAAGTTCCACTTAAACCAAATGAGATATCTCTGAAACAAGAGTGATATTGCCAGAACACTCAGATGCCACTGATAGATCTCTTTCAAAGAGCTTTTTCCTCACATTTTCAGTTTAATGCAGATACTGTTAGAGAAAATTCTGATATAGGATATTTTTTAATAAACTTTAGGTATTTAAGAAAAACAACATAAGATGTATATAGATAGTAAAAAATTATTATAGCAAAGAAAATTAATATAGTCATCACCTCACAGTTTATTTTCTTGTTTTTGTGACATGATCAGCTAAAATCCAATCCTTTAAAATGAATCCCACATACAGTACAATTTTATTCCCGACAGTGTTCATGTTGCACTTTGGATTTCTAGACTTGTTTACTCTGCATAACTGCTATTTTATAATGCATATTATTTTCATTACTTTCCCCTCTTCAGGTCAACAATGATTTCCTTGCTAATGTGAAATATGTTTTTTATTGCTGTATGATGCTTTAGAAAATTTTAAAAACATGAGCTCCTAATACTAAATTAAGATTATTAGGATTTATTTTTCTGACTGTAGATTTTGAGTTAATGTAACATAGGGTCTTCTCTTCTGCTTTCATATATTTCTGATCAATGTAAAATAATTGTAAGTAGTGGGATCCTTTCTTTTTTCACATTATAATGTATACTCAACAAAATATTTTCTAATACAAAGATCATTTTGAAAAATCTTGTAGCAAATATTACATATCAGGATGAATTTTTTAG